GATAGATAGATAGATAGATAGATAGATAGATAGATAGATAGATAGATTCATTCTGTGAGTTCGGTTCCTCTGGAGAACCCTGCCTAATACAGGGCTGCTGATTGATAATAGGTACATTAGCATGTTTGGGGAGGATCATAAAATATTTCAGAGTTAGTGGGAACTGTTATATAATTTGTTATGTTTTTAAAGGGGAGAATTATTTGAATTATAGCTCCTCTAAGCTTCTGTCATTAGATGAAGGAAGAAGAGAGGAAAGAGGAAGAAAATGACAACCCAATTTAGGAATCTGAGATCTGAAACCCTGAACACCCAGGTCAGGGACAAATAGCCTGAGGGCTCAGGAAAATGCTTCTCTACTTGCTTGGGTTGTTTGTTTTTGTTTATACTTGTTTCTTTTAAGTATATGACAGTTTTTGCTTACATATATGTCTGTGCAGCATGTGTATGCCTAGTGCTCAAAGAGGTCAGAAGAGGTTATTGGATCTCCAGGAACTGAAGTTACAGGTGTTTGTGAGACACACAGTTGGTGCTGAGACTCGAATCTGGGGCCTCAACAAGAACAAGTGCTTATAGCCCAATGAGCCCTCTCTCAAACCATTCCCCCAACTTGCTTTTTGTTTGCAGAACAAGACATGACAGTGCCTAATGCAGTACAATGCCTGTAGCTTGGGCCATTATCGCCACTATAAATGGACAATGCTCTGGGATGCAGAAGGAACATGAACTGCAAAAAATGTTTGGGTTGATAAAAAAAAGAATCAAGTTCATTAACTTACTAAACCCTTCCCTTCAGCATGCACACAACTGATTCCTCAATAGCAGGGTATTGTTTCCCTATAGTATATGTTACTGATTTTTGTTTGTTTCTCTTCTTGTTCCCATTTAGAGGTCAAGAGGTATTCACAAACTGCACAATATTATTATGGCTGCACTGGAAACAGATTCACACCATTATATAGCTCATATTACTTTACATTTGTTTATGTGTGACTCTAAGTTTTATATTGATTCTTGTCAGTATTGTATTTAAGAGATGGTGAAGATGCTCTCAAGAAGTAATGGTTCATATGATTAAAAATAGTTCATATGATAAAAAATGTTTGTTTTCTGCAGTAATGATAATTTATTGTGCATGACCCCATTATATTTGAG